AATAAAGACTATAACTCAGTCATTTTTACAGATACTGAATTAATATTTGGTGGACTGCCTTCTTCCACCTGCGTAATATCACTAAAATTACAAACATCTTGTCCAAAAATGATGCAGGAAAAAATGATCCATGCATTTATCACATCTAGACTGCATCTGGACTGCTGTACTTCCTTATTAACTGGGAATCCAAAAAAGTCTTCAATTGATCCAAAATGCTGCTGCTAGAGTTGAAGGAATTTCTCCAGTTTTAGCTTCTCTCCATTGGCTCCCTGTCAAATTCAGAATAGAATTTAAAATCGTACAAAGCTCTCAACATCCAAGCTCTGTCTTATACTGAAGATGTTATTGTTCCACATTTTTCTAACAAAGCACTTCACTCTCAGACTGGAGGTTTACATGTGGTTCCTAGATGTTCTAAAAGTAGAATGGAAGGTAGAGCTTTCATTTATCAAGCTCCTCTCTTGTAGAACCAACTTCCTTTCCTTTATAGTTAGGCTTGGGTTTCCTGAGTTAATCCTTAGTTATGCTTCTGTCAAAAACGTGTGATTTCTTTATCTCTCTTCCAGAGGAAAATACACCTGAACCAGTCCTTCTGTAATTCTCTGTGTCTCTTTCCTGTCCCCCCAGCTGGTCGAGGCAGATGACCACCTGTCCTGAGCCTGGCTCTGCTGGAGGTTTCTTCCTGTTAAATGGGAGTTTTTATCAATGTGCTGCTCAGGATGGGAGACTGTGATGAAGTGAAGATTCAACATAATCTGCTGGCTTCTTTGCATTTATTGTTTTGTTTTTTGTGTGTGTGTGTACAGTGCCCTGAGACAACGTTTGTTGTGACTTGGCGCTATAAATGAATTGAATTGAATTGAATTGAATTGAATTGAATTGAATTGAATTGAATTGAACTGAATTAAATTGAATGTAGCTGAGAGGCATTCAGACAGATCACCAAAAGTTTTGTTTAAAACTCTGGGATGCACTTTCAAAAAATGCCACGTTCCTTTCATAAACTGTTTAGTTAGATAAACCAGTATATTTTCCTAATATTGAACAAGGACACTTGCTACAAACTGAGTATAAGTATGCATATATATATGTAATTTGACGAGTTGGATTTGAAATTCTTCTTGAACATTTTTTTTGTACCGTAGCTCAAACTCACTGTCCTCTAAACCCATATAATCTTTAGTGACGCTACTTTGAGACAACATATTGAAAAACCTTCTTACATTTGTCTCACGAGACTCAGCTGAAGGTCTAAAAGATCTTTTATCACTGAGAGTGAATCGTATGCCAGTGAAGTTCCTTGGCACAGCCACAAGAGAAGGGATGAATATCCCAACCTGAGCATAAATCTCAGAATAGTTCAGCCCTGCACACCATTAAACATACTTTTAAACTAACTTTGATGCTGTATCATAAAGAATAGCTCGAGAGGGGGAAAAAAAGAAAAAGCCTTAAAAGTTGATGAAATTGACCTGGCACAAACTCTTCTGACCTTTGACCTCATTATTTAAAAGTAAAAAAAAACACAGTTGATCCTAAAGAGGCATTAAATTG